ATCCTCAGCTTACATCAGTGTGCATGTTGAGATGCATTGTACTGGAATAAACTTTATAAAACGAGCCCTATAAAAAGTCATGAGGAGAGATTGTGCTCCGGGCTATAACAGAAATCAACATCGTAATTCAGTGTGAAAGAGGATGATTCCCCTTTGTGCAGAGCGTGCAGCCTTGCAGCCAACAGGCCTGTTTTAACCAAATTGATTTTGGTGAACATTGCAGGGTTGAAGTCTATAGTCATTTTATATATTATGACATTATGATGTCCTGGGACAGATGACTTTGCTCACTTTGTTATGAGTTCCACTAGTAATAATAATAATAGCTCAAATTTATATGGATCAAGAGATCTGAAGATGCTTTACATGTTAGTGGGTACAAAAGAGAAAAGCAAAGAAAAGAAAGCAATTTGCACAAAACAGGACAGAAATAATCAGCACTAATGGCAGGGTGGAGCGTTAACTGAGTCCAAAGGCCTTAGTGAACAGGTGGTGTTCGAGGAGTTTTATGAAGCTGTCCAGAGATGCAGCATTGCGGATTTCAGAGAGGAGAGACTATTGCCCTCTGAGGTGCTAATAAAGAAGGAAATGAGGGGGAACTGAGTTACTGTTCTTAAAAAGGAAGTTTTGTTTTCGCTCCTGTCCATGTGTTGGTTGATTGGATGGTTGGTTGGTTTGCTTATTTGATTGTTGGTTGATTGGTCAGCAGGTACATGCAAAAGCTACTGAACTCTGTACGAAGAGGCAGATCCAGGATTTTTTGTCTTTTTCTTTATTGTTTCTAGTTTTCTTCATCAAATCAAGTGGTCTTAAAATAATCACATAATAAAGTGAAATGATTGATCGATCTCACATCACCCAGAAGCTAAAATCAGTCTTTTAATTTTAGGAAAGATACATCATCATTATCGACTCATATGAACATTCTAATCTTGATTTCATTTTTGTCCATATCCTCCAGGCCTAATTGAAACTAGTTGTTTAACCTCTACTTCCAGCTGAAGCACAGTCACAGAGCAGTAAGTATGCTGAGATTACTGAGTCACCTGCTGCTGCCCCTGATCTATGAAAAACAAAGAGGTTTCTCATTGAGGGAAAAGTTTGTCACTCTTCCAATCCTCCACTAAACCCGACCAAAAAGTGCCAGAGGGAAACTCTTAAAGAGCCTCAACTCACTTTTTCTCCTGGATCCACCTGATCACAGCCATGACCTCTGGTATATCCTCTGGGGAGTCGCTGGTCCCGTCGAACTGGTCTGGAAAGCTTCTGTTCAGGTCTTTGTTGTTGGCGTTACTTCTGCCGCCGTTGTCTCCCATGCAGTCTCCCTCCCTGGACTTCTCGAAGCCGTCCGGGTTCATGCTGGGCATGATGTAAATATCCGTTGTGTTTACGAGCTCCGTGATGCGCGGCTCCTCTCCGTATTTCAGCAGCAGGTGCTCGGCTAGGTAGACCAGCACCTGCCGGGACACGGTCTCGTCTCCGTGCATGTTGCCAACGTATTTAAATTTAGGTTTCCCTGGCGAGTCCGCTTCGGGCTCCGTGGTGATGCGCATCACCCACAGCTGCCTGCCCTCCACGGACTGACCCACGCTCGACAGGTTGGCTATGTGCGGGTATCTCTGGGCTAAAGACCGCAGACGTTCCGTCAGACTCGTGTAATTGTAGTATCTGTCGTAAGTTTCTGTCGGGTCTTCGGCGGCGGAGCTGACGAGGCGTCGTGTCCGGTGTCGGCTGGCGTCACCAGGGCAGACGAGGAGCAGAGCGAGGAGACAGGCGGAAAGTGACGCTGGTAGTTGAAGCACGGCGGATAGACGCTTCCATGTGTCGGCCATGTTGACGTGTCTTCTTCCCCTACACCATTCGGACCGTGGAGTCAGAGGACAACACTGCTGTGTTTCAGTGTTTCAGTGTTTCTCAGCAGCTGTGACGGTTCTTCTGGCCTCTGCCTTGTTTCTATCTGCTTCCGCTAACCGCACCGGGGCGTGGCTTATCGCGATGACGTCGAAGTTTAAGGTGGACCGGTGGAGTTATAGCTCAGAGTCCAAAACTCTCCTGAAAAACAGTTGATGTTTTTATCCCAATAAAAACTATCTGAGACGTGTCTGCTTCCTGTAACACAGGAGTGTTTCAACTGTGAAGTATACCCTGATCCTCAGAGGCCCTTATAACGCCCTAGTTTACTAACTATAAGGTTATAATTTATATGCAGATTATTTTTGGTCTATATCTAATAACAAGAACCCCACTTGAAGGTCCAGTGTGTAGGATTTAGTTGAAAGGGGAAATAATCCGAGTGATGTTTTCACTAGTGTTGAATCATCTTAATTGCACAAATTGTTTTCTTTACCCTAGAAAAGACCTCCTAGGGAGGCAGTAGCTCAGTCCATAGCGACTTGGCTTGGGAACCGGAGGGTGGCTGGTTCAAGTCCAGCATGGATGGAAGTTGGGGAGGTGCCAGTTCACCTCCTGGGCACTGCCGAGGTGCCCTTCAGCAAGTCACCAAACCCCCCAATTGCTCTCCAGGTGCTTTCATGGCTGCCCACTGTTCCGTGTGTGCCCACTGTTCCGTGTGTGGTGTGTGTTCCGTGTGTGTTCCGTGTGTGCTCCGTTCACACGGATGGGTTAAATACAGAGGTCAAATTTCCCCATGTTTGTATGCTGTGTGTGGGACCATAAAAGAGGAATCTTAGAACAGACTTTTTGTATTTAAATACTTTCTATTTGCATTGGGAGTGGGTCTCTAGAGAGGCCGCCATGTTTTTTGTCACTTAAGTCCAAACTGGAGAAACTAAACACCTATTGAGTTTCAATGACAATTTTTTTCATCTCTCCAATAGCCTAGTAAAAAAAAAGTTTTTATTGTTTACAAATGTATTGTTTAGTCTACAAAATATCATAAAATATCAATAAAATGCCCAACATTATTCCCTGAGGCCCAAGTGCAAACTGCATTACAATCAAAAACCCAAACAGGTTAACTTACAAATATTCAAATTTGAGAAGCTAGGTATAAGAAGTTTTTTTTTACATTTTATCTTAAAATGTATTTAAATTCTTGATCACTTAAATAAGATGTTGCAATTAATCTTCCCAGATTTGCACCCTCTGATGTAAATAGTATTGTTTTCTTTTTCTTTTTTTTAGAATCTACCCTTTGTTAACTTACATGATAAATACAAATTGAAACTTGATTTTGAATAGATTTACTGGTATACATGTATGGTGAAACGAATCTCTGCCCTGACTAATTTAGCCATTAATCTGAAGACTCTGTTTACTTATACCAGGGGTGTCAAACTCATTTTAGTTAAGGGGCCACATACTGCCCACTTTGATCTCAAGTGGGCCAGACCAGTAAAAATCATAGCATAACAACGCATACATAACAACAATAAATCTCTATGTTGAAATCATTGGTGAAGGTTTTTGGATGATAAACCCTATTTTAAGGTCTTTCTCCAATAAACTAGAAACATAAAGACCAAAAACTCAGACATCAGACCACAGTTTATCTGCCTGGGCTCTGCAGATTTCAGCGAGCGCTGCTGCCTGTGCCAATGAGCGCCTCTGCCTCCTGAGTGGACATCACATTTAGGCATTGAAGCATTTTTTAAACATTTATTGAAAGAAAGTTTCGAATTGTAATTAATTGTATTATTTTCACTGCTTTAGTTCCCTGATATAACCCATCTGCTTTAGTGTTTTTCTTTTCCTGTAGCCTCAGGGCAAATATTTTGTCCCTGTTGCGTTATGAGTGGTGAGAATGAAACAAGGGAAGAAGCCTCATGCCAGGGCAATGCTATTTTTGGACCCTATTTTAGAACATTTTCCTCTCACTCTTCACCCTTACATTTCAATACTCATCACCACCTCCAAATATGGCCCCTATACTTGTATAAGAAAGTTTTTTTTCTTCATTCACAAACCCCTGAAGTGAATTCTCCACTTGACCTCAAGTCACCCCAGAGTGCAAAAGAAGAACATTGAAGTAAACTGAACTCTCCCTTGTGTGGTTTAATTTGTTTGGTTTGAGGTAGTTACTGATTAAACTCACTAATGGCTAATTGTTTACTCAGATTGAACATTAAGTATCTGAGATACTTTCAGTGTTTGGTTTCCTTATTGCTATGTTATGCTGTTAACTATTATAAGCAAAGCCCAGTTCTATAATGGTTTTTATTGTGTGAACGGGTGGAGAAACTACAATACATCTAAGTTGTTTGCATTTCGACAATTTCACATAAAAGGTCGATTAGTATTTCGGTGATTATTCTCTGTTACAATGATATCAGATGACATACTCTCACAAAAGAACTGCTGTACTTAACTTCTAATAATTAACCAGTAGCACTAACTGCATTTTGACGATCTGTGATGATGTGTGCATACATTTTGTGTCTCGAAATGCACATTTTATGATTTTGGGATTCAAAGGCACTTGTGAAACCCTTGTTATGTTTAAGGTATGAAGAAAAGGCTAACACTTCATATAAACCAACATATCATGTGAACATCTTGACTGTAAATAGTAGCAATTGTAGAGGCCTAGTGTAAATGCATATCAACGAAAAACTTCCCTAAGGCTACAGATAAGGAAATAAATCACAACTGAGTATCATGGAGTTTAGCAGCAGAGTATTGTATTTCTGTTTATTTCAAGTTGCCAATTCTCTCTCTATTGATCACTGGTTACACCATCTCAATTCATCTCTGTCATCTGAGTGACATCACCACCCTGATGCCGCCACGAGGGCTTTAATTCCCACGTCTTCTCTCCCCAGAGGGGGGTCCATCAGGCACTTCTCTGTGGTGGCTTTCCTTAATTCTTTTCTTTTAATTTTCATTTAGCAACAGAACAAAACAAAAGTGCTGTTAACATCTTGATGGTAAAGCACCAGAAAGTGCTGGAATGACTGGGTGAAGGGAGGAAGAGAAAGAGGAAGAGGTGATGGAGGAGGTAAAGAGTGAGTGGTTGGGGGGGGAAGAGGAGGCTGCAGGTCTCATTGCTGGATTCGACGCAGCGACTGCACCTGGAAGGACTGAGCATGGGAGCCCCACTCTCTGTAATGTTTGTACTCGCCACCATGACGATCGCACTCCATGATGTACTGGTAACCACGGTAACCTGGAAACTGGTAGCACACCCAGCTGGAGGAGGAGAGAGGGAGGAGGAGATTTATGATGAATGTGTGATTCACACAGCAAGGGAGGTGTGGCGCACATGATTTGAAATCATGTGAAAATATGAAAGGTGAAAAGACAAACTGTGGTTGGACCAGTTTAAACTATGCATGTCTCTATAGCTTTGATTATTATTTAAAACCTTCCCCTAATCAATGTATCAATTGGCTCTTAAGGAAACCAACTGCTAAACCTAATATTAGACAATGTCATCTAATAACACAAGGTAGGATACGTTTCATAAATCCCAAAGGGAAAAACTAAAGTGTCACGGTAAGTATCCTGACAAGATATGAGCATTTCCTGTGTAAAATTAATACGCTAAAAAAAAAGACAACTATGCACTTTATAAAGATGAACCAGAGGAGTATGTTTCTGAAACATAAATAACAATAAAATGAGCAATTTATATATAACATAAAGATATTTTATGTGCATATACATATTCATTGGGCTGTTGGAGGATTAAGATTTGGCTGGAATGTTCAGGTTAGAAAAAGTCTATGTTAAAGTAAGGGTAAGGCATTTAGTTGTGATGGTTAATGTTAGGGTAAGGGGCCAGGAATGTATTCTTTCAATGAGCGTCCTCAAATAGAAACCAAGCTTTCCATTACAATTCTATATGGATGAATTGGGTTGGATTGACTGTAATGTTCATCTAAATCAGTGTTCAGTGTCAGAACCCTGTGGAGGTGGGATCCATATACTTACGCGCCACTCTGAACTTGCATGGATCCAATCTCGTTGTTGCCCCAGCCCATGGCCTGCAGAGATGGGTAGTCATCATTTACCTCCCACTGGCGTCCCATGAAGTTCTCCTTCTCAAACAGCACCATCTTGGACTCCTTGTGGTGCTGTGTAAAGATAGAGTCAGTCAGAGTTATTAAAAGAAATAATAGCAATGGTTATACTGTGTTTGTTTTGTGGGAGGCAGCTGGAGTGAGACAGCAAAGATGATGCTGCAAGGCGATCTGAAACTCAACCCTTTTGTTGCAGCAAAGTGTTTTGTATGGTTCATATTTGCAGATGTATTCAGCAGCAATAGTAGTAACAGTAATATACCAAATGAGAATCAAATGTTGGTTCAGTTGATGCTACAAATACTTTTGAAACCTTTTCTCAAAGGCTTTGGGTCATTTGATTTTTACTTGTTTTTATGTTTCTGTGTAAATCACCTTAATTCCTTGAAAAATAAAAATATATTATATATAATATGTATATTTTAACCATACTCTTAATGTTGTGGTATGTGGAATAGTGCATCACACTGCAATACAGCTGTGAAAACCACTTCATCACTCTGTAGAAGCCAGGGCTCTCATCCCAAATTAATCAGTTTGATCCATCAAACTTCATCTTTTTAACACATGTGGGATTTGACAAGTCACAAGTCCAACAACAAGTGAGATGGAGGGAAACAGAAGTTGTTGAATTGGGACGGACACTCACAGCAGAGCAGATGGGGCGGAAGGACATCATCCTCTCGATGTGGTAGGCGTTGCTGCCGCTCCAAGACTCCCAGTGAGGATATTCTCCTCTCTCCAACACAAACTGCTGTCCACAGAAACTGGAGTGCTCATATCCTGCCCAGCTGTCCCCAGCAAGCACACACAAAACATATATATAATGACGTGTGTACAGCATCATTGGATCATTTAGAATAAAAATATACTAATTATCAGATATTAAGTGGGTGTTCCTGTTTTATGTCTTGTCAGCCACACAGTAGGTACTGCATGTGAGGAATTTTAAAAACACACATCACTGGTTTATCTGTACTTCAGTTTATTTCCTCCAGTGTAATATTTCCTGCCAAGCATTTTGATTGACTCACGCTCCACATTCCACTTTCAGCGAGCGGATGTTGTCCACGCCACACTCCATGATGTTCTGGCACGCTGAAGTAAACTCCAGACGCTTGCCCTGGAAGTTCTCCTGGTCATAAACTGTGATCTGGTGGGAGGGGAACACAAATGCATACATGTAGCATTCACATGCCAAAAGCACACACTGGTATATGCATACATCATCATCATGGACACCTTCAGGCCAGACGTGAAATGTGTATTTGTAGTCTTTGCTTTTGTCAGTCATTCATTACAGGACTCACCTTCCATGGTCCCAGTGGGTTGGGATTATTCAGAGCCATACTATTGTGTATCTCAGTGTTTATTTACCTTCAGAGTAAAGAACAATGAGAAGATAAATACAAATATTACACAGTTCAAACACAACCTGCCACCTCCACCTCAATGACTAATGCAACTCAGCTGATATTTATCATTTATTGCCATGTATGACTATCTTTAAGATCTGTGTGTATGTCTTGTTAAAATAGATATAGAAATGTACCACCTTATGTTACAGCTTCATTGCATGACTTAAAGTCTATATAACAGAACACATGACCGGTTGCATGTGTATATCTGTTGGAAATCTGTCTTGAGGCTGAGTACACACTCACACTTGTTGGAGCCAGCCATTGATGCAGGCACAATGCATGTTTGTTCTCCCAGTGCACGGTCAGTATGTCTGACCTCAGTCTATACATTTATGTGGCTCAGCAGAATAAACAAAGACAAAAGACACACAAACGTAAAGAGACAATGGTCTGCAGGATGATGAATGGATTGAGATGGAGGGCTTACCTGACCGGCCCCAAAGAATAGCTGTTCAGTGCTTGCAGGGGGGCTCCACAAAAACGATGTCCTGGCCCCGGAGTAAACTGAGCTATTTATACATGCTGGTACTGAGGAGCAGCAGGCCCATGGGTCAGGGCAGGAGTCAGCACATTGCTGGTCCCCTCATTGTTCACTGCTGAGCTGCTGGGCTTTAGTTCGCTGCAGTGGTACTGGTCGCAGGGCACCGTGCCCAGTGCAGATAAGCACATGTTCCAAACGGGCCATGACCAGTGGGCAGGACCAAGTCCTGGAACGGCCTGGTGCAGGAAACAGATCATCCCACATGAGGATTTTCTTGCCAGTGAGTCTGGTGTGAAAGAAAAAACTGTGACTCATTGTGAATAAAAGAAAAGGAAGGAGAAAAACACAACATTTAGAATCTTTGGATCCAAAAAGACCCTTGACTCAAAATGACAAACATGTAAAAAAGTGTTATCATTAAGTTCTCTCCACATTGTGCTCTATGTTCTGTCTCTGGTCTCATGTCCATCTCTACTGACCCCACATCTCTGGTCCTTTCACCTTTTCACTGGCTCCTATGGACACACATGCTCAGTCATACACACACACTGTCATGCAGATGGACATGCAAAAGCACATTCAATGAACACAAAGAAACACGCACACCTAACCATTTAGATAGTGATGAATGACGTGAGTACCTGCATTCTATGGCTCATCATTAAACAGTACAACTAACATAGATAATGTTTTCTTCTCTATTGAAATAGCATAACTGTTATTTTAATTTGTTTACAATATTTTTAGTCAATTACAAATGAATATAGGTAAAACTTAACAACTAAAGGTAGGTAGAAGTTTAGTTTACGAACGGTCAGTGCCCTTCCCTGTATTTAATCAGCCAACTTCAATTTTCAAAAATATCATTTCCTTTCTAAGCATGAGCAAAAGTGCTGAAAGTGTATCGCAGCTCAACAAAGAACATGTGTAAAACATGAGAGATCTAAACACAGATCTAAACCTCTGTAGCTGCAGTTTTAACGTGTATGAGTAAACTGACTGTTCAGTGCAACAGACAGATGATGAGAGGTGTGATTTTGATATTTCATTGGCTACATTGCATTTGCTGTAAACCAGCAAAATACTACATGAAGACAAATGTTGTCACTGGAAATGCAGCTCATTTTGCAAAGGTAAGGAAATCTCCGAATCCTTGCGACAAAAAAATCAAAAACATGAACCAATGAAAATGTGCCACTGCTCTTGTTTTCAATACAAATGCCCCAGGCCCCAGATATTATCTTTGTTCTAGGAAAAATAAAAGAGGACATTTCCTCTGGGTTCTTGTACTATGCTCTAATAATTCATTTTCAAGGTTCATCCTGTGATCATTTGCAGACTTTCATATGAGAGCTGTATCTGAAATTCCATTTGAGAGAAATCATCTTACAACATCTGTCTGCAAACATTTGAAAAAATAATAATACAAATTTTGCTATACCCAACATGGAAAATCAATCATTAGAACACCAAGCAGACAGTCGAATCTTTTGCTTTACTCATAGATTAATCTGCGGCCCTTTGGTCACAATTAGTCTTTTACTATGGATGCATGTCACTGTGCATGTACATGTGATATGAATGTATGTATGGATACAGCTTATAGTGCAAAAGAGTGTCCAGCACTCGCCTGTCCAAACAATAGAGAGATGGATGTCGTTTGTGCAGTCAGCACATTACATACACTCAGAGGCTCAAAGGCTTGGAGCAGCGGCAGCAAGGATCAAGAGAAACAGAGAGAATATAGAGGTGAAGAAAAAAACAGAGATCACAGACAAACTGCAGAACGAAGGAAAAGAGAAGAGGGAGAAAATAAATAAAGAATTTAGAAAGAAAGTGAGTAACAGGCAGTGAGAGCGGTGCAACTATGTGTGTGTGTGTGCACGTGTGTGTGTGCACGTGTGTGTGTGAAAGAGGTGCGAGTGGTGTAGTGTAAAGCCAAGCAAACTTTCTGCTGATGGCAGTGACTGTCCCTCGGTCCCCCACAATGGTGCCGGACAACAAAACAGTCAGCAGAGTCAGCACGACTCGTGCACAGATATGCAGTGTGACCTCTGACCCCTGGACCACGCTCTAAACAGCTGGCAGCCAATCAGGAGTCAGAATCCTGCCTCAATAGACTTGCTCTGGATGTGAATATATATATATATATATCCTCACTCACGACGCCTGCGTCAATCACTTTCTCCAAAGCTCGGTCCATTTCAACCTGCTGTTGTAAGTGTAAGTCTCCACTCTCAGGTCTTTTAACTCGTTCAGAACTGTCTATGTAAACTTTGGACTTATAGAACCAGACGAGGATTGATTCCTCTTAAACCTTGACTTTGAACTGAGATGCTGTAAAATGTAGCAGAGTGTGATTTTTAAGTTTTAGAGCTGCACTTGTGTCTTGATGTAAAATTAATGACAGAGATCAGGGACTTAGTTGAAGATGGATGGTTTGGACAGATTTTGTTTAAAGGTTGATAATAGCATTCAGCTCTAATTTACTGGACGAAATGTCAGAATTTGTTATGGGAATTTCCACTTTTACTAGAAAAACAGTCAACATTGTGCTACCAATGCTCGCATTATACCACATTTCTTTTTTTACTTTTCTTCATTTTGATTTTCACATTTAATTGAGTGAAGAAGAAAAAAGAAATCCTCAAGATTTATATTTGGTGCATCAAGAAGAAAAAATGTAATCGGCTATTTACAAAATGATTTATTTGTAAACCATTGAGAATCTCGTGTTTTCGGATTCCAGTGATTTAAGATCTAACCTTGATCTAGTTGTGTGACATCAGAGTCGAGCATGGTTACACCATCACTGATGTTGGGTGTGGTCAGAGGGGAAATTGACTAAAATCTTTCAAAGGTCCAGTGTGTAAGATTTAGGTGAAAGGGATCTATTGGCAGAAATTGTAGAATAATCCTCATGATGTTTTCACTAGTTTGTTTCATCTAAATTGTATGCATTGTAGTTTTCTTTACCCCAGACCCTTTATATTTAAATACTTTATATTTACATGAAGGGGACCCTCTCTACAGAGGCCGCCATGTTTTTTACATTAGTCCAGACTGGACAAACTAAACACTTTTTGAGTTTTTATGACAACTGAAGCTACCACAGGTTCTTTTTCATGTGTGGAAGGAGAGGGTGAGGTGAGGGGTGTTCAGCTGCAACATGCATCTTCACCACTAGATATCACAAAATTCTACACACTGTACCTTTAACTATAGAGGACAGTGAAACTCTGATTTTCAGCCTGATAGTTAGTTAGCTCTTAATAGTCTTTGTTATGTTGATATTATTGAATTTCAATTGAATTGTATCTATTTATTTACTTTATTAGTTTTTGATTATACACAATATTCTAGTTTTTTGCTCACTTTACTACACATATTGTCTCTCAGGATTTAATTATATAATCCTCATTTTATAAATCTTTCTATTTATTTCTATTGTTTTCACTCTCTTTTTTATTTAGCTTTTTTGAATTGTAGTCCTTTTTTATGTGGAGCATATTGTGTTACATTTTGTTTGTATGAAAAGTGCTTAATGAATAAAGTGTAATTGGTTGATTGATCACATTCAAACTGTCATCAAGAGAATAAATTGAGCTAAGTTTGATCTACATTCATTAATTTCTATGTAACTTTAAAGTCATGCGAACATATGAAGACCTGCAAAAGACAAAGCTGTCAGGCTGTGTTAAAGTCGTGAATATCTTCATATCGACATTCATTACATTTAAATATCAAGTTGTTCTTCACTCCATGACATTTGCACAGGGCCTTCAGGCAGCTCTGATGTTGATAAATGAATTTAAATGTTGGCTTGAGTAAAAGAAGCAGCTTTCCAGTGACTCTATCAACAAGAAGAATCCTTGTGCTCACACATCTGTTACATGCCACATACTGTGTTTGAGTACTTTCCAGTGATGAAGAAACAGTAATGACTCTCTCCACATCTCCACACTGACTGACTTCTGTTTTTGTGCCTGTTTTCTCCAGAACTGATCATGTCTCACTCAGGTGCTCAAGGCAGCATTGGTAGCCACTCTACCATTGGGCTGCGCAATTCAAAGGTACCTACTGATCCCAGGAATTACAAAGACTGATTATGAATTCAAAATACCTGCAGACTGCAGAAATAAAAGCATTTTGCTTTTTTTTTTTTCAGATATACCTCTACGAACACGAGAACTTCCAGGGTCGTAAGATGGACCTGTTTGCAGAGTGCCGTAACCTGTCTGAGAAGGGTTTTGAAAAGATTGGCTCCATCAGGGTAGAGAATGGACCGTAAGTCACCAAACTTTCCATCCACATACTTGACAACATTGTATGTGTTTTTCTTAAGAGATTAAAAGTAAAATACCTATCTTTCCAGCTGGGTGGGTTATGAGCAGCAGAACTTGACTGGGGAGATGTTCATTCTGGAGAAGGGAGAGTACCCTCGCTGGGACACCTGGTCCAACAGCTACAGGTGTGACCGCTTTATGTCAGTCAGGCCCGTCCGCATGGTGAGTAGGGTTCATCTGCAGGATTTGGTGTGTATATATATTTGTGCTGCATTTTCTTCTTTCTTCATCTTGTCCACCTTTCATTGCGGAGGACAGTGCTTTTTATGGCTTTATTGACATTTTTATATTTATGGATCCAAGCCACTGTCTGTATTTTTTGACTAAACCTTATATTATCATATAACATCAACATTTTGTGACGGTTTTCAGAATAATAATAAATAAAATAATTATAAGTTATCAGTTTGTTAACCCCAAAATATGTGTGTGTTTCTCAGGACCCCCAGGACCATAAGATTTGCTTGTATGAAAGCACAAACTTCGAGGGTCGTAAGATGGAGGTGTGCGACGAGGATATTCCCAGCCTGTGGTCGTATGGCTTCCAGGATCGTGTTGCCAGCATTCAGGTCACTGGTGGAACGTAAGTCACATCTTGTTGCACCCTTTAGTTTAGGAGAGATTTAAAGTGATAGATAATTTGAAGTGCGATATAATTAAGGTAAAATCATTTGAACGAGTATATCATTATCTATGAATGTTAGCAATAGAAATAGTTGAGAGATATGATTATACAAATTCAACTTCACTATCAAGCTGCACCAAATTTTCCACAGTTAAATAAAACAGCACACAACTTTGGGTCAACATAATAATAGTTTCATGGTTTACATCTGTTTCTCTGTTCTTCCCCATACAGCTGGGTGGGCTACCAGTACCCTGGCTACCGTGGCTACCAGTACGTGTTCGAAATGGGCCCATACAAGCACTGGAACGAGTGGGGGGCCCACCACCCACAGATCCAGTCCATCCGCAGGGTGAGGGACATGCAGACGCATCGCAGGGGCTGCTTTGAGATGTCCGCATAAAGAGGGGTCCAACAGACTGTGGGCGAAGGGAATAGCAAGGGGTCTGGCTCGCCATGCTGCCAACCATCCCTTGGAGATTCTTTAAGAGTCACTTAGCTAGTACAAGTTAATGGCTTTTGAATATTGTTATTGCTTTTACTGGTAGGATGTTCTGATTGTCACAGACCTCCAGAGTAAGTGTAACACTGGTAAAATCAGTAGCAATGCTCTCTGTCTACAGACCTCATTAAGATTACATGATTCAACCTATTTATCAACAGGGAATAAAGGGGATAAGTAGATTTAAGTTTATAGTTTGTGTTTTATTAGTTTGTTTCAAGGCTATTCGCAACAACACCTACAAACCTTTAATTTTATTTTTATTTACAAAACTACGTTTTATGCTCAAATGATGCCAATAAGCCTGTTCATCATCTCCTGCTCGTGAGAGCCACAGACTTTAGAGAGTTAGAAAGGGACAGACAGATCATATCACTCCTTACAAAGTTCTACTACAGGCAGCTCTCAGCTTGGCGCATGCCCTGCAGTAAGGTTACCAGGCAGAGGGAGGCGCTATCTCCTCACCACAGAGCTCAAGACTCACCTCAGTTGCGAGAGGAGGGTACTGGTCAGTCTGTGATTAAACAAGAGAAAGGTGGCCATGCAGGGTTGTGTGTTGCAGATGTGAATATCTTTATGGCCGGCCTGTTTCACCCTGTTGATGGGGCTGTCCAGAGGATTCTACACTTTCTCAGGGATGCTGGCATCTGGAAAGCAACTTTCCATTAGAAAAAATGAAATAAAAATATTATACCTGGACGGTTGTCTCATCTCCTTCTTGCTGTTTTCTCTCAGTTTTTTTTTACACAAACAATGGATTACATCAATGATGTGAAAGGGGTTGGTTGTATTGATGAGCTAAGAGAGTATTCACCAAACTCTGCAGTTCCCTCTATATAAGTCTATGGGTGATTTTAGCTTCTTTCAGCTTCTAGTTTTGATATTAATTTAATTTTACAGTTTTAAGTGTTCCCATCATATTGTGCCCAGACATGTTAGGTAGATGGTTTCACAAGGTAAACGAAAGCAAGCACATCCAAACTTGATAGAGGTGGTGTGTGTGGACCAAAGCAACGCAGACCAATTTTGGTGTGTGTGCGTGTGTGTGTGTGTGTGTGTGTGTGTGTGTGTGTGTGTGTGTGTGTGTGTGTGTGTGTGTGTGTGTGTGCAGAAGACGAGGCCCGCAGACCTGTCAGCCATACACCTCTGGTCTGTTTAAAGCCACAGGATTTGGATTAAATAGCTTGTGAGAGAGCCGATGAGCCTTGGGCGAGGGAGGGAGGGAGGGAGGAGGAAAGCTAAGGGCTGATTTTTATCTTTTACCGGATCGAGGGAGGGAGGAGGAGGAGAGGAGGAGGAGGCACGGAGAATGAGTTATTCTTGTAGCCGCACAGAGCCTGTTTTCTGCGCCGAGTATTAGCCTGCGCGTCACCAGAAGCTCCGACGCAAGTAAATCGGCTCCTGCGGCGAACGACGCCGAGCGAGCATCATCATCATCATCATCATCATCATCATCTCCAGAAGAACCCCCCGGCTTCCCGTCAGGTCGCTCGCCGACACACACAGCACCTCTTCCACTGGACATGAAAGTGCAGCAGGGCTGCAACTCAGCAGACATGGGGATCCCGGTTACAACCGAAGAAGAGCTGCGCAGAAATACCGTAATAACGCCCGAGGATGTGCTGGGGCTCCAGAAGATCACCAAGAGTGAGTGTAACCTGCTGAAACTGAGACTGTAGTTAAAGCCTGATTAATGTCACCCATCTGCTGCTGCTTCGTGTCCCTGTGTCCTGACACCGGAACATACACTCCGTGCGTAACCGTCCTGTTTGTAGTGGCTGTGCAGAGGAAGCAGACATAGATACCATGGACAGCGACACAGTCTGAAAGGTCATCAATGAGTCTCTACTGATTTAAATAAGAGGAAGTCAGTGAACAGTTATGGGTTTAAAGTCTGACCCAACTACATTACCCACAATCCTCAGTTAATAAGGAGAGCAGTTTATTGACTTTACTTGTGTTCAGTTTACTATCAGTGCTCCTGTATGTTGTTCTACATGTGTTTGTAGGGGTTTGTATCTCTGTGCACTGTGTGTGGGCATGGTAAGAAAATGAAGGTGTGTGTGTGTGTGTGTGCTCAACAAATCCTGCCCCAAAAAAACCCATCCTGTCACTCTCCACATCCTCACCTCAAGGCACCTGTGGCTCTGAGGTAACAGGTGGCCGGAGATGTGATCCGCCGATTATAGCTCCTCATAGACAAATAGTCTGACGTAACAAACACAAGAGAATAAAACTATCAGCACGTTGTTTGACATATTGTAGTAACTGTTTCCACGTTAGGTCATGGAAACAGGGCAGCGTTGTCTGTCAAGGGCCGTAGAGACTAGGTCAGCTGGTAGATCTGGGTTCTATCTCCAATATCAGGAGAGTTGTATCAGAGAGAAAATTCTAATACAACTCACAACCTTGTGTTCATGTCTTTGCTTCTTAAACTGATTTTAATCTTGGTTTTCTTTTTTAACTGTTCTTATGTTACATATGTTATATATTGATTAGGTGTGTGTCTCCTAATCTTAGTTTAACTCTTGGATTATTCATGTGTTTACTTGATATATGATATATAGTAAGGTGTGTCTAGAATGACACAGTGAATACCATTTCTTATTATCATTATTCATATTATTACAACTCATGAGTACTTCATAATATCATACAGTGTTAAATGGAAGACTTTCTTCTGATTGCTTATATAATTGGTGAATTGCTTCTGAAATCTCACTAATTAAGTCCAGTTATACTTCTGCATTGTGCACATTTTGTGGATTGCCTTATAATTAACAGTAAGAAAGAACTGTAGTTTGTGTAATCTACCTAATTCCAAGAATGAGCATAGCAGTAAATGTACTAGTTTAGATCACTTAGGAAACATTAGTTTGACAATTTAATTAAAAACATTAATCCTAAATCACAAAATATAGTAAACTTTTTTCTGGAGCCTTCAACCTCACTCAATATCATTGTCTTTAAATGTGAGTAAAGCCCATGGGATATTAAAAGCTCTGAAAAATAATGCAGTCAACCTTTTTATTATTTATTTCAAAGTCTAATGATGTTCTGAATCTAAATATCTAAATACAAAAATATGTAAATATTTGCATTTTTAATTATCGCTGTTAGCAACTAAAATGTAAACAACAGGGTTACCCAACGACCAACATGCTTTTACTCCGAAATTGATTGATGGACTGATTGGTCCTTGATAACATTGACGACACAGGAAAGTTATTGTCATTTTCTGATACTGTAAACGTTTATTTGCATTCATTTTCACTCACTCAAAAATAAAAACTATTTTTAAAACTGACTCTTCGCCCTCATCCCTTCTCAGAGAATCAAATCTGTACCACCTCATCAAAAAGGCAATAGTCGTGCTGCATCAGTGTGATAAAACCTAAATTACTCATGATGGTGCAGTAATCTCTGCTCTCCACTGACATGTAATCTGGATTATGTCAGGACGGCTGTAACACATCATTCTGCAATGATGAGATGCGCCTCAGGTAATTAATGACCCTGCAGGTCACATTAAAATGGAGCTCTAGTCATTTATTTTCTGGCTTTTGACAGCAGTAAATGTAATATCCACTAAAATAAATCCTTGGTGGTAAAATATGGCATCTGTCACGTGTCGAAAATGTAATTTCTGGTGATTTGAACCGTCGCTAGATGATATTTGGGTCTATATATAACCATAGCGTTGAATCTGCTTCTTTGTTTCCTGTTAAAATGTCTCCCAAACATTTTAAATGGCAGACCATACAAATGATCTACACCACAGAGATAAACATTGAGTGTTGTTCAATTCAGACGCATCATTTTCTGCTGCAAGGGAAAGAAAATTGCTGTTGGAAAATGACTTTTCCAGTTGTGCTTTTTGGAGGTAAATACTGTACCACCATTTTGGGGCAGCCCGGCTCCAGTTTGTCACGGTGGTTCAGTGCTGATAAGCGAGGCGCAGCGCGTCATTGTCACACAGGCAGAGACGAGAAGAAATATAATCCAGGCAGATGAGAAGAGCTGCTGTGATATGAAAAATGTCACATTATCAGTTTACTGTTTACATGATGGATGAGTTGGATGATACACAGCCAGGCAGACAAACACAAACACTGTCACTGCCAAATATATCTTATGTTCATAACTGTCATTTTGTGACTTTATAATACCAAGAATTACAATAATTATCACTGGACAACAGAAAGTGTGAATTATAATTCATCCTTGGTTACAATCAGGAATAACAATCAGTTTTGGTTTGTTATGGTGTTAAATGCATTTCTGGATCATTTTGTGTTGAAAATGTTGTTTACCTCTCAGCCATCATGCCTCATTGTGTTTCCATGGAAGTGGAAGTGGAGAGAGCAGTCAGAATTAAAAAAAAACACAATGCTGTATCTCACCAAAAATGCTCTAAAAATGATGTTTAGTCTTTCACTTTGGGGATTTAGATTTAAAGATATAGATTCATTTCTCAGTTGAATCATAACAAACTCAGAGCTCCCAGTTTTCATACGGTTGTGTGTTTTTTTCTGCGCTAATACTATTGACCCCCCACCTTAAATACTTTACCAAGCTGTTTACTAAGTTGTCAGGGTGGTCCTGTTATTCTATTTTTTATGTTTCGTCCCTAGTGTATGTCAAGGACCCAACAAATTAAATTCTTATATCTAAAAGAAAGAAAAGTATTTGTTGATGTTCATAGTGTCCAAACTTAAAGATGGAGCAAAGCCTGTGATCATAAAAAACAGAAATAAGAGTTCCCAGTCTGTTCACAGTTCTCAAAGGCCTTCATTGTGTTTGAGAGAGATATTCAAAAGTCACACGAGTTGTCTGATGCGGCCCCCGTAACTCGGAGGTGTGGCAGGAGTGAGCGTCAGATGCTTCTCCACCATCTGACAAGCACTTTGTTAAAAATCACATTGATGAACAAGCTTACACAACAGCACCATCAGAACACTTTCTAAGAACAGATACCTCCATAGTATAGTATTGTATTACATTGTGTAATGGGATACCACACTTGAACCCCTGCTGTGCTGTATATTTGACTCAAAGGTTCCTTCTACTCTAATGGATCATCAATTATTTGGCCTTAATAAGTCGGGGACAGAGCGGCCCTTGTTCTGTGCTGGGTGGAATCTCTGCTCTGTGATGTCTGCCAATACAATAGATGCAGCTTTAATTAAAATTGATTGGTGCGGCCGGTAGTTAATCTGAAATGCACACAGCTGTCACAAGGTTATTCTTTCAGAGTGATTTGACATGGAGAGAGAGAAAGAGAAGCTTGTTACGTCCATGACAGTGATCAACACACGCTCATCGCTCACGTCTGCTCCTTGTGTCTCAATCTTCAAATCTAGCAGCTGTTTTTAGACTCAGAACCGTATGTCTATATATTATACATGTTATTTTAGGTAAGGTGCATTATAATCATAGATATATGTAGAGAGAGACAGGGATATAGGTAGATATATAAAGCTGTAAAGAGATTATACAGAATGTTAAGAGATGGATATATAGAGATAGATATTTATTCATCTTTATGGAAAGATGGAGAGTCAAACCAGTGGTTTCTAACATGATCCATCTTTACTGGTGCTAGATGTCCATGGGTTGTGACCAGATCGACTAAAGAGGGATACAATTTGTCCCCCTGTACTGAAAAAAAAGAGGTTTGACTACCCAGACACTGATCACAAAACACCAATGATTAGAAGAAAAGGTGTAAATCTTTTTTACTGCTTTTCATTAATATTGTCATGTCCCATGGGATCATTTTATGGGTCCTTGGGTAGATCCTGACCCCAGACTGGGAGTCATTGGTTTAGGCCACTGCTCAGAAACACAGATATTAAAGGGGAATTGTGTTTATTATGGCCTAGGACATTATACAGAGCTTGGCGCCCTGGATGTATTCAATTAAAAAAAATCTATACCGTACATACATTATGGATAGAACTATAGTCCCTGTATACTTATACATAGAACTTAAAATACTTCTTAAAGACATAGAGCAAAGCAAACATAATAAAACCAGAGTTTGGTTAAGGGCTTCTGTAACGTGTATAGTTAAAGAAATTGGAGCAGTTCAAATACTTTGGTAACTTGTTGTACAAAGAGGTTGTTGGTGGGACCTCACTCCACACATTAATCTATTGCTAATTATTTGCTGGCTGGTTAGGGTTTGTATTTAATTCATATAGAATTTATGTTGTTTAATCAGATGAATAATATGTTATATTGAGTGAAACTCTTTTTATTCTGCACTTGTGTCTCAGAAGTCTTTTTAGATCATGACCAGAGATGAGGTGTGATCTGAAGGAGTGGAGGGAGTGAGACGGACAAATCATTGATGTCCCTTCAGGTCCCTCTCACAGTCTGACCCTGAATGTGACAGAGTGGTCAGTGTCTGTGTGTGTGTGTGTGTGTGTGT